ACTTTAGGTTTAGATTTAGTTTTATATCTTTTTGATAGTTTTAGACCACGGCCCTTTGAAAAACAGGCAACTGAAAGGTTACCGTGGATAAATATGTTTAAATAAATAAAAATAAAATAATAATAATAATAATACTTCAAGTATTGATGTTAATATAATCGGTTAAATTTTGTTTCAGTCGCATTCAGACGAGTCGAAAATTTTGAACATTAACATAACACTCAACAATGAACGTTGTCGTCAATATGTATAAAAACACATATATTTAAAAAGATGAAACACTAGTAAACGGCATACGTAGCTACTGTTGAATGTTAATTTTGTTTCAACATGTAATTAGGATTTTAATGAAAAATTGGCGTTCCCTAAAATTGCCGATAAAAACTGGAAGTTTCGAAAACTATTACGGATAATTGTAATACACCCTTCCATAAAGTACTTATATAGGCCTGTTTTATACGTCGAATTTTGGTCGTTTGAATGCAATTAAGGCAATACACAATCATTAGTTGCTTGACATGCTCTATTAATTAAAGCATCATTTAGCGTGTCCCATGCATGCACTCTTATAAAAATTGGTACGCTGTAGCGTACATGGCGTCTACTGGATCAAAAAAAGAATGTCAATGCCGTCTGGTTTATATTGACATTTCCGACTTTGTAGTGGGGAAGATTAAAATATCTCAGCAACTATTTACCCGCCCTTTAAAACGAAAACCACCGTTGAAATCCTCATAAAATAACCTTTGAGACATGTCGAACGGGGGGTCAAAACATTACACTGTTTTGACGGCATGTGTCACATGCCGTCAAAACATTACACAAACCAAAACAAATAAACAGTTGTATATTTACTCACCGCTTGGTCAGACATTCTGGATTTCATATCGAAAAACACCTTCAAAACTCTTCAGAATACTGTATGTCAAAAGGAGTAAAATACTCCTTGTATCCAAGCGCTTTCGTGCAGAAAGTCTCGTTTGAATACGGCGGACTAAAATTGTTTTAAATTTTTCAGAATTTTTTTTATTATTGTTATCAGAAAATTTGCACAAATATAATAGCAATTAAAAGCTAAATTGTTATGTACATTACAAAAAATAAGATTATGTTAGAGTATAAAACGTATAATAGGAGTATAAAATAGATCTATAAAGGTATAAAGCTAAAACTACCCAAACATTGTTTTATTGTACTTGCTAACAGCATAGCTGATTGGGCTACTCTTAAAACGTTCGGTTTTACCCATAAAATTATAGTACATTTGATTGTTCAGCCTCGTCCTCTTCCTCACTTCACAGAATTTCTTGGGTAATAAATTGTGTAATTTATGGTTATGCTTCGACATTTCTTTGATTAATTCAATGCACATTCGATCGCGTCGTTTCTCCAAACTTTCTATTTTTGCTATACGTAAAACTTTATCGTAACCATCTTCCTTATAAATTATTTTCAGCGCTCGTTTTTGGATTCGTTCGATTTCATTACTTTGGTCCTTCGTAATTCCGCCATCATGCAGACCTGAGCCCCATATTCAAGCGTTGGTCTAATTACTGCGACGTAAAATCTTTTCATATCATCCGTACTTGCACCATACGATTTTATTATTTTCAAAAGAAATAGGCGCTTCGCAGCTTTTTAGATTATCTTCTCCGTGTTTGTATTCCACTTCAAATTGTCGTCGATCCAGAGCCCCGGTACCTTATACGAATTAACCCTTTCAATTATCTTGTTCTATATTTCAGTTAATGGTATAGCCGTTTTGTTTCTTCTTAAATCAATCAACATTTCCTTGCATTTTTGAAGGTTAAGTTCCATTTTTTGTTGTTTCGTAAACTTCATAACTTCTGACATATTTCTTTCAGCATTACCAATGACATTGCCTGGTATATGGTTTTTTACATCTATAATTTCAGAGATTGTTGTGTCGTCCATGAATATTGTTACGTCATCATCATCACCTTCAGACACCTCATTATCAAAAGTTCTCTCTCGTTTCGCCAGTGCTGATGGCAAGCCATTTATATGCACAATAAATGCAACCGGGCCTAATCTGCTACCTTGGGGTATGCCCCCGTTAACTGCTACCCTATCAGATACCTCATTTCCAAATTTAGTTATCTGGGTTCTTCCACTCAGATATGAAGCAAGCCACGTGACCAGTGCAGGGCGAATGCCAATCTTACAACAATTTTCCAGCAATATGTTGTGATCAATAAGATCATAGGCTTTGCGGAAATCTAAAAACAATATTCTGATTACAAAGCCTGGAGTGTCTAAGACCATGTGCCATTTGTGAACCAGATAAATAAGCGCCAGGACCGCAGATGATCCTGATTGTCCGCCGTATTGTGCGTCCATAATTTTACCATTAATATCCTCATTCAGCCAGTTAACTATAAATGACTCTTGAAGTTTCTATTTATTTATTTATTAACTTTACAACTATACATAAAATAGACTAAAACACTACATAATATGGTTGAAGGTATGGTCAACAGGACATGAATAGCCCCATGTGAAGACCAACCTTAAAAGTTTCGATATAGTTCGATAGTACAAGTTTCGATATAGTTTCCTTAGTTTCGACATAGCACTAGTTAGTGAAATAGGACGTAGTTCGTCGACACTAGTGCAAGGTACACATTTTGGGATAGATGAGACCCAGAAATCTTTCCAGATGGCTGGAAAACGTTTCGACTTAAAGGATTCGTTAAAGACTACGGTTAGGGGTATTGCAAAATATTCCGCGAATATTTTTAGGATTTTAACATTCGGATCGTTTGGACCAGGTGCTTTGTTCTGTTTTAACTTTCTCAATTTATTCGCAACGGATTTCTTGGTAATTACGGGTAAAGTCTCCATTTCGCCATATGATAGCCACTTGTCCTCAACAACTGGAAAGTCCTTGGTCAAGCTTGCGAAGAAACAGTTGATGTAATTTGCAGTATCTTTATCATTCAGGATTACTCAAGAAATTAAAATATTAGATGATTTATCTTTCCCCGTAAATTTATTGATCTTCTTCCACCACTTTGAGTCGTTTTTATCATAATTTCCGGATATGTTATTGTTGTAATACCTTTCTTTCGCCGTGCGGATTTCATAAAACGAGCAGTTTTACCTTGCTTATATGCACAATTTTTCGCACAAATCATCTTCTTCAGTTTCGCTGTCATAAAAAAATTATCATTTTGGTGAAATTTAACAGTTTTGGTAGGGAAGAAATCGTTCATCACATTGCTGGTGGATGTGAGGAATTCTTCTAATTTAGCATCAACAGAGCTTGCGGAAATAACATTTTGCCAATTATAGGAAGCGAAGAGTGAGTGAAAAGACTCCAGGGCAGAGGGTTTTATTGGCCTTACTGTTACTTTTTTTGTTATATTATTTTGAGCCTGCTGAATTTTAGACATCCAGATGTCCATATTATGATCTTCAGAAGATAATGGGGCTATAATTTCTGGAACTTCATAGAAGTGATTAACATTGATAAAAATAAGATCCAGAATACTAGTGTTTCTTGTTGCTTCTTTAACTACTTGTTTAAGATAACAGTGGATCTTCAGAAATCTTGATTTAAAACCATTACTAGTTGGGTTGAAATCACCTGCAATAATAAAAGCTGTATCCCGACTTTCGGTAGTTAAAGTATCATAACAGGACTGAAAATAGTCGTAAAAAGCATCTAGGTCGTTGAGTGACATGGAAGGTGGAAGGTAAACACAAGCCAAGGCGATTCTTGAAATTTTTCTAGGCAGCCATTTGGGTCTAAGGGTCACCCATAGGCATTCAAAAAATTTGTTACTAAGGTCAAACCTAATTCTTACTGGAAAATCGTCCTTAATATAAAATGCAACACCAGCTTCACGCACTACTATTCTGTCTTTCCGGAAAACGTTAAAATCGTTCATTCGGGATATTTTCAGACAACCACGTTTCTGTTATGAAAATGATATCTGGTTTGTAAATTTCAATATGTGCTTTCAGTTCATCAACTTTATTAAAGATTGATCTTGCATTAAGAACCATAACGTTAGGGAGTGTTCTAGTAGAGGTAACTGGCCTGTGACTATAGGAAAGACATGCTTTGTAGTACAGTGTGTAAGTTGGATATTAATTAGGTTACTACGATAGGCTGCTTTAATTGGCAGACTTATTACGATTTAAAACCACCTCTAGCCGATGAGGGGAAGGAATGCGTTTAATATGCTAAATGGAACGAGTGGTTTCATAATTCACTTTCCCGTCATTATATTTATTATCATTTGTTGAGTTCAATAGTTTTCGCTCCTTGTGAGGTAATCCAGAATCCGGAGTCCGACTTTTTGTTGGTTTAGGAATCCGGAATCCAGAGTCTTGGAATCCGGAATCCAGACAGTGGAATCCAGAATCCAAATAACTGAGGAATCCGGAATCCAGAGCGCAGGTCGTTCTGGAATCCATTGTTTTATTAATTTAGAAAAAGACCATATTTGTTGTAAACTTTTGTTAACCATTTCTTCTTTTATTTAACGCCAGGAAATATGGTCAGTCTCTTTCAAGTTTCAGGACGAAATAGTCGAAATACATGAAATTTGAGAAACTGTTCGCGTCAGCGCGCCAGCCTTCCGATTACGTACTAGCGGTGTTCTACATCCTTATATATCGTTACGCTCTAGCGCTTTGCATCTTGGCGCCGTTTATAGACAATTCTATTACATCATTAGCTATAGTCGTTACGTAGTTGTACGAGAGACAGCACCGCGCATGAGTAAACCAGTTGTACTGTTCATGAAGACCAGTGAGTACGTGATTTTTCTTCTCCACTGTGGTCTCCTTCAAGAAACCAAGACTGTTGACTACGTCTCGCCAGATAAGTTCATACATTGTTATCCTTTGTTATTTGTCTGATTATTTCTCCTTTAAAATGTCCGAGGTAGAACAAAGTGCCGATGATTGCGATCCTTTTTCTCCACCAGACCGCTCCATGTGGAACATGCTTTCAGCTTTTCAGCAAAATGAGAAAAGTATATATGATTCAAACAACAAAATTATTAAATGAAATGCGCGTTGAACATGCATCTGCTCATTCTCCCGCCATGCTTGATTCAGAGGAATCAGAAACACCAGCTTCAGAGGAAGCTAACACACCCGCTTCAGAGGAAGCACGTCAAACTGCTTCAGATGAAGCCATTGCGCAAGGCTCGCAAGAAGCCACTCACTCTCGTTCGGCGGACGAGCCAACAACATCCTACCGGGAAAGCGAAGACGACGCATTAAGCTTGTTTGTGGGAAATGATTTTGAGCCAGCTGAAGCCGAAGATCCCGATAACGATAGTCTATTAGACTTAATCGATGAGTCTCTGCGACCGTCAGATTCTTCTGGCGCTCCATTTTCCGAAAAGGTAGCGAAACTGGTCAATGACAAATTTTCAATTGACCTGGGCCTTGAGAAACAAAAAGAAATTCAGTTTTTTGAGAAATACAAGACGCCATCCAATTGCAACATGTTTCATGTACCCAAGGTTAATGAACCTATCTGGTCAAGCCTAAAAGATTTTCACAGACAGCGTGATTTACGTACCGCTGTTTTGCAAGACCCTATTGTGCGCGTTACTAGCGCTTTATCTATTACAATCGACGACTTATTAAAATGTCGAGAAACGAAGAATGCAACCCCGGATTATCGAAACATTGCCACACGGCTGTTTGACTCAATTGCCTTATTGGGGCACGTTAACTTGTTTAAACGCCGAGATTCTCTGCGTTTATTGCTCAGCAAAGAGCTTAAATCGGCATGCAATCGATCACTCCAACAAACCGGGCAGTCTCCTTTTCGGGGATGACTTAACCAACACTATTAGGCGTTCGCCGATAATTTCTACGATGCCCATGTTTTCCTCGACCAGAAAGAAGATATGACGCAACAGGCTTGTAGTTAAATTGTATTGCATGTTGAAATGGGAATAACGCAGGGTGCGGCATTTTCGGAAGCAATTGTTCATCTACAAATCCCATGGCATTAATACAGAATGAATAAATTTGTTGATAAAAAACATGATCCTTTGAAAGAATTCCAGAGGATGTTAAAAAGGCAAGCATTGCTGCAGCTTCGTCAAGCTTTTCAAGATCTAAGTACATTTCCGTGCTTGTTCCGGCTTTTGATGTCTTTTCATCAAGTCGTAAAGAAGTATCAGATTCTTTATCCGAATTTGATGAATCTTCCTCATGTTTGCTGTGGGTAGATATCACAACCTTTGCTGCTTCACCAAGTTCTGTGAAACAGATGTACAATGGATGGCTTGCATCAACCCTTCCAACTTCAAGACACCGCAATTAACTTTTTAGAAAGGTTTCTGAAGAGGGCCTTGCCGCGAAACATAAACAATGTTGATTACACTACAGAATATCAATATAATTTTGATGTACTTAATTGAAGCTATTTCTTTTATTATCAAAACTTCTTTGATAATATATACAGTAACAGATGCACTGGGAACTGAAAGTGTATTTATTGGCTTCGCAATACACAAAATAATAAATTGGAATCCGGAATCCACTACAGTTCCGGAATCCGGAATCCAAGCTGAGGAATCCGGAATCCAAGGAGTAGGATCCGGAATCCAAGCAGTGGGATCCGGAATCCAAACACCTTCTGGATTACGTATTACTTTCCGTTGCTAATGAGCCGCTTCGTTGGTCATCGCCAAACATTTGCATTTCAATGTCGGCAGGAACATTATATTCACTACACAAAATACTTTTCGGTATAGTATAAACTTCCTTAAGTGATTTGCCATCGTTTATAATTGAATTGACTGGATTTTCTTTAACCATTTCACTATTTATGCTTTTGTTTCTATTCCCGTGAGACTTTTCAATAGAAAAAACTTTCCCCTCCAGTTCGGAAATTCGTGATTTTAAGGTCAAGTTCTCTCTATTCAATCCGCATAAATCTTGTTTACTTGTATCTATAATTTTAACTTGTTCAGAAAGTTTTTCCAACAAATTTACCATTTCTGATTCGATCTTTTCTTTAAAAATGAAAAAACGTGCCTCCATTGTAACCGAATTATCATTAACACGCTTCTGATATGGAATAGAATTACCGATTTCTTGGGCGAAATTTCTAGTGTACTATAGTGTCCTCCTTCGACAAGGCGGTCGCTTACAAATGAATTGTCAATAAAATCCTCAAGTTCCTTGAGCGTTGAGGTATCAGCAACCGATGCCGTGTCTTTGCTTAATATAGGTGTGTTAGTTAGGTCATCAAAATAAACCTTTGTAGCCCCAGCCGATTGCTTGTCTATATTGACTTGCGGGGGCGGCGATTTTACTTCAATAGGGCTCACAGATACAGCCTTCGTTTCGCAAATATTTATCAAGAATTCCCTGAACAAATATCCCTCTTTACCTTGGAATAAAAGCGTTTTCTGCTTAAGGTAGTAGGCCTACCACGTTATTGTTAGATTGGAATTGCTGCTCTGAACTTCTTTGAGTTGCCACCCGGCGAAGTCCATTTGCCGTTTAATCCAACAATGTTTTTTAAAAATTTCTGCAATTCGTCAAAGTTATTGTTCCATTTTAAACGCTTACCGTCGTAGGCAAAGTTACAATCATCATTATAAGGTCGAAAGGCACCAGAATTCAAGTTTTGAACGCTAAATTTAGAGTATTGCACAGAGCTAGGAATGTTGTGAGCGACCAACGTGGTTCTCAACTGCCTCAAAACTGCGGTTTGAACTGTGGTTTTATATAGAGCTAGGAAGGAGCTATAGACAGTGCTTTTTTTCAAATGTATAAACATTTCAGACATGAAATCATGAATATCGGGTTGTTACTCACACGCGCGTGCCTAGGCCCAGTGGCGGAAATTCACTTTTTCTGGGGGGGGGGGCAAAGCCTTCTAAATTTCCGACAAAACTTTCAAATTTTCGACATACCCCCATTTGCACTCGAAAAGACTGTTTTTAGCCCTCTTTAGAGATTCTGAAATACCAAAATAAAAGATGCAAATCTATAGATACAAACTTGAAAATAACACTCCAAATAGTGTCTTGGATTGTGATTCGAACAAGAATATTACGAAAAATATAGGTTGAGAGGGACCGAAGTTATATTCGGCGAAAGGTATGGCTTAGTGACCCATGTATTGTATATAGGTATGACAAGTTTACATTGTTCGAGTATGGCTAGTTTATATCGTCTGGTTATTTAACATTGTTTGAGTACATAGTACCTTTCAAGCGGAATTTGTTGGTGGTATTTTCGTATTTCTACTACAAATACTCGCGGAGTTCTTTTATATTAATAACGTCGGAAATCTCATTGAGTTTATATGATGAATGATACATTTATCGTAAACAGTTCGGAAACTTTCGTAGATGCGCGGGCTTTAACCTAACAAAAGCGCCTGTTCGCAGGAGAAGTGAACCGTCCATGCACTGCATACATACATGTCCCTAAACTTCTTGCCGACAGCATATGGCGACTGCTGTTCCAGTAGACTATAGGGTCTACGATTCGCATCACCATTATATCAACCTTAATTAAACTGTAAGGCTAATGTGAGCTACAGCCACTGTAAACTAAGCTAATAATCCGGCGATAATTAGTTCACAGAAATCACTTTATTTTTATATAAGACGAAATACTTAATATATTAGAAAAAACTATATTGATAAACTTAATACATCAATAAGAAGTAAATTGAATAACATTAATTTTTTACATATAGAGTTATGCATCATATATAGTTATCATATTAGAGAAAAATATAATTACTAGAGCACGTCTAGTAAGGACAAACAGTATAAATGTTTTCAAATTACATATGCATGATAATATCAGAAAGTGCAATTTACTAATGAATTAGAATCAGCAACCATCAACATTCATGTCTTGATCAAAGTTTCAAAGGTTTCAAAGCAAACTCAGTTGTTCCAACCCACTTATTTTCGGATGATGTCAGGCGCCAATACTGAGCAGTAACAGCTTCAAATTCTACAGTCACCTTTTTCTGCAGCACAGGTGAAGGGAAGGTAGTAATCTAGAAACAGAACGATTATTGATCGAGTTATAAAAGGTTTTACTCGACTGTCTGGTTAATTTAATCAGCACGTCCTGATCAAAATATGACCACATTCCTGGTTCCAACTGTCTCAAAAATCAAGATAGTGATATCTTATATAGCGCTCTTTTAAATTAGACAAACATAAGTTTTGTTGCCATATGGCTCATTTTTGTTTAAACAGAAAACTTTTAACCAGGGTGTTTTTAGAGGGGGAGTCATGACGGCTTCTCGAATAATTCCTAGAAGTATTTGAAGGATATAATACACCTTTGAAGGATCGGTAGAAAGCCCAAACGGCGTCTTAACCCGCCTTAATTTAAGAATCGTAATAATTTTTGCTAAAACGTTCAAAAATGTGTCCAATTCATTAGTGCTATAAATAAAAATACATCCTCATAACAATAGCGATAGCTTACTCCCGTTAGCATGCAATTGGATGCTGGAGCATCGTAGTTCGGGCGTATCTGGTTAGGTTCCAGCCTAACTGAATATACTTCAAAGTTCATATCTTCAATAATTTTCAAAAAATTCATTCTAAAATAATAACAATGAATGCACAATGATATTTACCGTTTTCCAGTTTTCACTGTCAGTTGAGTATTCCAATTTAAGATTGCCATAACCTCGTCTGACGTCATGACCCCAAGACGGTATAAAACCTCCAGCTACTATGACTGACGTGGCATAGACTGGTCGAAGGTAAGTTGCTTGAATGTAGTTCCCAGCTTTTGCTGTTTTGCTGCCCCAACCACCAGTGTCCTTTCTACCATCTGTCAAATCACGTGATGTAACATGATAGAGGTCATTATAGTAACCATTTTCTGTAACTTGGTAGTCAGTTAATGCATGAATAAACAAAGCCTTGAATTCCTAAAAAAAAGTAGCGAGTACTACAGTAAATACGAAATAGAAAGTGTTTATTTTTGGTATTTATGCTGAGTAAATACATTTTGGAACAGATTTTAAAGTCCTTGATTTGTGACCATACTCAGGTAAATTATTTATCTGCATGTCACTGCATGCTACAAAAGTTGCGACAATTTATACTAATTTATACTTTTTTTTAATTTTTAGTACTAAGTAGTTACAAAGTTACAGTACACCTATTCTGTTATTTGGCTTTTAGAGACATGATCGTAATCTCTATTTACAGTATTAATATAAATTATTATTCTACTTAGAGTTACGATATTATTGAATGCAAGTGCATGAACAATTCCCATGCATGGCGGTATTCAATTGCTTTCATGTTAATGTTATGATCGAATCTTAGGCATGATATAATTATTCATTCATATTAATCATATACATACATGCTCAATCTATATGCGCACTTATATACACAAGTATATTTTATTTAGTGAATACACTTGTATATATGTAATATCATACCTCGAAGCGAGGAAGCCCATCCAGCCCAGGTTCACCCTGTAAGAAAGAAACATTTCGCGGATTTCTTATTGTGTGATTATATATTCAGTGTGTGGATTTTCATATACTATTAAGGTCTGATTCCACGAGCGCTTTTTGTCAGCGAAATGCGAAATATTTCGCCTGTTTCTTTTGAATTGTGAGCAATCAAGTAGAAATAATTTATTCGAGTGGTCGCAATTCAAAAGAAACAGGCGAAATATTTCGCATTTCGCTGACAAAAAGCGCTCGTGGAATCAGGGCTTTAGGCATTCAAGTGTTCGCTTTCTAATTCGGCTTGCTTAACCAATCAAATGCAACTCCCATGCAGGTAAGTTACACCACAGTTAATAGAAAATATGGTTTGGAGACTCGATGAAAGTACAATATAACTCATTAACTATGTTGGTTTCGGTTTATGCAAGAATTTGGGCCTATCTCGTCACGTGTGTATTGTATTTTTTCCCGCACAACCAATAGCAATGTTTAAATTGAGAATTTTTATTTTTGCACATTGCAGCGAATAGTGCTATTCGGTCACGAAATATGACTAAATTCTTGCATAAAGCTGGACAATAACATAGTTAATGAGTTTTTTGTACTTTCATCGAGTCTCCAAACCATCTATATTAAAATAACTGTGCATGGTTACACTTACAGGGATCAGTGAGTTAGATAAATGCATGATGCCTCTTGAATATAGAAATGAAACACAGTGTCATGGCAAAAATATAGTTTAGATTAACAAGTTTATAAGTCGCATTAGTATATATCGACAGTATGGCTGCTATAATTCATGCATGCGTTTATTTATGTAAATTAAACCCATTCCTAAAAACATACAATTTTTATGTTACTATGGCAATATCTGCAGGGTATTATTTTCAAAAATTGCACCTTTTAAAGTTTTTTTTATTAATATCTTGATATCATGCATCGTAACCCCCAATATTTTTCGCAATCAGTTTTAGTTTATTTCTGTTTTTCAGCTTTTTGCAAAAACCGAACAAAAATGTATTAAAAATAGTACAGAATGTTTAAAAAATTGTTCAACAGAATGTCTGTATTCTGATTATTTCGGTCTGCAAAGTTTTGGTATAGGTCACCACTGGTGTTTTAACTGACGCACACTCTTACAATGCACGACGAAAATATTTTGTAGATTCGCAAAATTCGCGTTCAGGAAATTAACCCTGCTGTTCTATTCTTCAATGGCATGCATGTACTGATATTTGATTTGAGATAGTCAATGTACGATACTTCAAGTATTATTAGTCGGTGGGGCCACCTGTGGTGCCCACCGACTCTAGGTTTCGGCACGCATTTTTTTTCGCGGATCGCAGATCTCTATTGTACACAAATTTCCATTATGACACGTCACGATTTTAAGGAAATTTGAGTATATTGAAGTGGAAACATGTGAGACAACGACATTGAATTATAGAACTATATTTAGTTCAATTTAGTTATGTTGGAAAATTGAAGAAAATTGAGTATATTTAAGTGGAAACATTTGCGACAAGGACTCAAGATTCTCTGCTCAAGGAGTGAAAGAACAAAATATCGTGAATGTTTTTGTATAGTTTTCAAGGATTCAAGATTGAAGCCTGATAAATTTTTAACAGGGTAAGTACTGAATGTATTTTGTCTTCAGATACGCTCATCTCACATGAATGTACACATATTCGTGATAGACCTACACTAAAAGATGCTGAGCGATTTCGAACTGGGTCTATGATTCATGAATACAAACATACCTTCGGGTACAAAAAATGCAAATATACCTTCGGGAGTTCGGGTACCTACCAAAATCTTACCAAAAATCTTACCAAAAACCTTACCAAAAACCTTGCCAAAAGTCTTGCACAAAACGTGATCAGAAATGTGATATAAATACTATAACAATGACGAATAAAACGCAGACAAACTCGCAAACAAACGTAAACTCTGGACAAAGTTGCCTTGCCGTGAACAAACACGTGGTTATACTTGCAGATATTTTCTACTTGTCAGGTTTTACTCGTGATATACATGCAAAACAGGAATACAAAAATTCTAATCACTTAAAGAGTGTCAGCCAGTCTGCATTATATACTGATATTGAGACAAATCCTGGTCCTGTTTTTATTGATCCTGGCAAGACAATATGTGCCCCATATAGCCAAGGTAATCTTATGCTATTTGGTGAATCAGCAGGACAGCAATGTTTAGCGATGTGTTTGTGTGCTCTTATATACAGCAAAAGACAGGGCATCTGTTCATCTCAAGACATGGTTCAAATCATGAATATCGGAAATAAACTATATTCAAATTTGTCACATTCTGCAGGGCAACATTTTTGATGTTTACAGAATTGCCTTCAGAACTCACAGTATTTGACACAAACTATCTTTTTGAGTACAGTGAAAGCTATAACCAGGGCCGTCCTCAGGAAATTCTTCAGGGGGGGTGTACTTCAATTCAACCGACTGGTTCAAAAAAATTTTTCCGGAACAAAATTTTTTCGGCGACTGAATAGCAGTCCTGCCGACTAAATACAATTACTGGGGGGGTGTCACACCCCCCCACACCCCCCCGTAGCTCCGGGCCTGGCTATAACGGTACAGTAATGGGAAATTGTTGTATTGAGGGATATCAGTACTGTGTGCCATTTAATAGAGCATTTGAATTGCTAATCCGCACAACGCTCGAATTACTTCACAGTCGGTATTTAGCATTTTAGGCGCGGTTGCCGCGACACCTTCATTGCCTTCAACATGGGATGTGCTTTTCCGGCGTTCTTTTTGATTGGTTGAAGTTACTTTTGATGGGTTGAAGTCTAGTTATTTTCCGTGTCATTTTTCCGATAGTGAGGTCGAATATGTTCCGAGGATATATTTTACCCTTGCCACCATCGATCACGTTGAGTCTGCTATGATGGCAGCAATCTTGTAACGAGTGGTTTACAGACAAGACATTCCTAGCGCTGAGACAGATTTTAGTTATTAATTTTTGTCTAGGGTAGATTTAGCTACTCGCAGGAGTATGTCAAAAGCAAAACATTACTATGCAAGCCTTCCAATGTGTTAATATGTCAACATCAATTCCCCAAAATTCTGCCACTGGCACTGATTTTTGTTACACCGCATTTGGCCAGAGGCATTTGGCAATCCCCTGTGACAAATTACGTCATTTTAATTACGTAATACTTACGAAATAAAAATCAAAATGGCAACCATGGAATAGCGTGCAAAAGTTCGCTATCGACTATTTGGTCCAGTCGTGTCTTTTCATTTGGGGTTTTTCAAATAAATATATTAAGAATTCACTAAAAGTTATCACGACGTTTTCACTGTTATGTTATCGAGCAGGGAAGTAGATAATTTGTACATAATTTCATATATTTGTATCGCGCGGCGGAGACATCAGTCTCGCAAATGTTGATGCATGCTTTCTATATATTTACATTGAATTTTCGAAATCTCCGTAGGGCAATTTCCAAACTTTCCAGTCAGTAATAATATTTTGGTCTTTTGGATCTACATAAATTAAACTTAAAGTCAGACATCGCCTGCTTCTTCTGAGTCTACATCATATTCCTATTAAATAGCATTGAAGGATTAAGGTTCATTGGGACAAAATGTATTACCAAAAGCTGAAAAGGAGGAACTCAATTTCCTGATATCGTGTGGAAGTAACATAGAATCTTTCTTGGCCCAATAACATATATTATTATTCCATGCAGATGGCCTCCTCTATACTGCAGTGCGCACTGGTATGTAGATTAGTAGATATGACTAAAGCGTTATTGCTATACATAATACAGTCGCTTGGTAATCTCCTCTCACGAGGCATTATTGTATTACACAGACGTTATAATGTGTTTAGTTTCGAAGGGAAGAATATTCTTGCCTTCCAGCCTTCGACGCACCAGTTGGTAACATTACACCAGCCGATCTGTGTAATGACAACAGGATAAACGCTTATAATTTTAACACGATAGATACTGTATACTATATGACTATTAAAACAACATTGCTACATGGTTGTACTTGTTTTAACTATTAGCGCTAACTGCCAGGCAAACTGCAAACTACAAGATTCAATGTTTTCGGAAAAACAAACACGCTGTTCTTAAGTGGTATCACTTGTGCTTAAAATTGCATATTTCCATCCCCCCAGCGACATTACGCTCCGTGGAGCGTCTTGTTTATTATTAGCATATGACAAAATTGGATACTTCTCAATGTCAACATCATATTCTCTCGCCAATGCCCAGTCCTGCCAGACTTTCAACCAAAATTTGGTGCCTTTGTTCGTATTTTCATTTAGTTCTTTTGTTAAAGCAAAATTTGGTGCTTTTGTTCGTATTTTCATCTAGTTCTTCTAGGGCAATTTCAAACACAAATGTGTTTTAAAAAACACCTTTCCGCCATTTTGTTTGTTTTGGGAAAATCATTAATTGTACTGCAGTACAATTAATGAAATAATTGTACTCCTCTCAACCAATCAGCATTCAGTAATTTTGTCATGCTAATAATAACTGCCATAACACTGCCATTGGATTGCACAGTTAATACTAACAACTTACAATATCATTGCGTATACATACTAAAAATCCCAAAGGCAAAGGCACAATAATGGTGCACTATTTGTAGACTAGCTGGCAATAGTACAATTTGCCTTAAAATATCTGTCAATAGGAGGTTTTTGCACTTGAACAATAAAAATAAAGATCCGGCATATACCGGGTGTATAAAAAAAAACTGAACCCTTTCAAATTCAAATTAGCTATAACGTATTGTAGTAATTTGACAGCTCTAATTGCCTTGAATTAATGTTGGATAAGAACACAAGGAATACTGTATTTCTTTTAAATTTTCTAATTTTTATTTCTTTGAGTTTTGTCCCATGAATACAAGACTTTGTGTCCTTATCCAACCATTAATTTAAAGCAATTAGAGCTGTCAAATTACTACAATACGTTATAGCTAATTTGAATTTGAAAGGTTCAGATTTTTTTATACACACTGTAGAAGGGCCATTAGTTACATCGGAAACTTTGAAGTTTCTGTTCTCGAGCATGTCACATTACGCATGTTGGCCGCCATTTTCTTAGCCAGTCAATGACATTTTATGGCCAATAAACACGCTGTACTGGCTGGCTGCTCCACCTTCTAGCCAGTTAACTGCATATTTTGCATAAAAAAATGCGGACACGTAGCACCGCTGAGTGGCCCTTCTCTTACTGATCTTTATTCTGTCCTTGAACGACTCTAAAAGGAAACGCAGTTGTATTATTTTCTGTTTGGTTGCAAATGCGCGCGATTTACCGTTTTGTAGTCTCTCATACGACTATGACAGGCCCCCAATATAGGCATAACTCTTCAATACATGCATATAAAATTGTGCTTCCCCAAGTATGCGGTGATAAATCACACTAAACTATCCAACATTATCTCATGAAATAGTAAGGTTATTAGCGAAAATACTCAAGAAATAAATCAACTCAAAGAACAATTGACCAATATGCAAAGTGATCGTCAAACACTCATTAAGGCAATTTCAAAACAAAGTGAGATAATCAAGCAACTATCCTCCAAAGTGGATAATTTGCAAAACACAGAAGAAATCCATAGGGTAGTGCCTGAAGTCAAACCGACTATGCAAAATATCTCACCGCTTCCTACCATGAGAATTACAACTGATCTCAAAACAACACCAAAGGTCCCAACTGCCTCATCATATCCTATGCTAAAAAATACAAAGAAGAATTCCTTTCCGGTAGACTGGCTGGGAAAGTTGCCCCTCATTGAAGGAAAATATAAACTGCAATCCGTTAAGTTCTTAAACTATAAACCTTGCAGTGGTCAAAAGGAAAATTTTGAAAGCACTTCCTACACGCATCAAAAACAGTACGTTACAGCAGATGAAATAGATGATAATTTTTTGGGGGCTCAATTGGAAAAAACGGAGTCGGCTAACGCGCAATCGTTGTCACAAACAGGATTGGCTCAACCACTTGAAGCTGATTCAACGCATGATGAAGTGATAAAAATGCCAATTCAGCCGATTAGAATCATGCACCTTACGTATATCTTCTCGGCGTACAGTATACCACCAGAGATCGTACAACTGTCAACTCATTTCAGTTACGAGAAAAAGTGACATTAGTACTAACATTAATTGTAATTTTTCCTGGCTTCCAAGCTACTATCTTATTAATACACGTTCGCTTTTTTCGAAAGTGGACGAACTGCAAGCGCTTTTATTTAGCAACCCTGCAGACATCATTGCTATCACAGAATCGTGGTTGTACGAGGATATCTCTGATGACCTCATAGCACTTGGTGGGTATAAAATTTATCGTAATGATCGGTCTTACGCACGTGAAGGCGGCGTCTGTATTTACTTGTCGGAAAATATTCCCTGCCAACGAAGGCTAGACTTGGAGAATTCAAGCTTCGAGTGTTTGTGGCTTTGGCTTCGTCCCGAACGCTTACCCAGACCCTTGTCGGGGATTGCTGTTTGTCTTATCTACAACCCCCCAGATCGTTCAGCTCAAGAGCTTCGTGATCTTGACGAGTATTTGATAGACACTGCTGACTGCTTGCGTAATAAATATCCGGATTGTGGAATTGTTATTCTTGGAGATTTTAACAACTTTGATTTACATAATCTAGCATCCAACCATAGCTTAAAGCAAGTTGTCCATTTACCTACCGGATGGTCTGCTATCCTTGACCTTATTGCAACCAATTTGCATAACTTGTACGAGAGGCCGTATATTCTGGCTCCGCTTAGTACTTCGGATCATAACATAGTTCACTGGCTTCCTCTTACTAAGGATGCCATAAATACTCTGACCCCCAAACCTAAGCCCATAAAGCATTTAGTAGCATTTAATTGAGGTTTTCGGACGTTGGGCTTGCTCAAAAAATTGGTTTGACGAACTCAGCGATAATCCAGGGACGGATTAATTGGTTACCTCCTTTTCATCGCAAGTGACCGATGCTCTTAATAACATCTTCCCACTAAAGACAGTGAAATTACATCACACCGACAAACCTTGGATAACCCCTTCAATCAAGCAACTTATTAAAGATCGTCAAAAAGCCTTCCATAGAGGTGATAAGCGACAATGGCAACTATTGAAGTGCAAAGTGCAATCAGAAATAAAACAGAGGAAAGAAATGTTTTATAAGGATAAGATTCAGCATCTTCGTAAAGATGATTGTCGAAAGTGGTGGAATGCTGTAAATAAAATGTCCGGAAGATCAAGAAAGAACACGTGCTTCAGTCTCGAGCATGACGGGAAAATCTTATCTGATTTCGAATTGGTGAACAGTCTTAACAGTTTCCATACATCTGTTAATGCAGATATCCCTCCCCTTGATTGCTCAGTACTACCGGCATTCCTACCCGCTCCTGACACACCACCTATAATCGAACCTTACCAAATTTATAAGAAACTTTGTACTCTTCAACCTTTCAAAGCATGTGGCCCTGATAATATTACAATTCGCATATTAAAGGAATTTGCTCACGAGTTTGCAGAACCCGTTGCAACTATCTTTAACACATCCCTAACCTCTGGAACATTTCCTGCCGCCTGGAAAGATTCGTGCATTTCCCCAATTCCAAAAGTGTCACAACCGACTTGTGAAGGAGATACTCGACCAATCTCACTCACCCCTTGTCTTTCCAAAGTCCTGCAGGACTTTGTTGTTCAATGGATGATGAAAGACGTCGTGAATAATCTTGACATATAGCAATTTGGTTGTTTGAAAGGATGACCAACAGCATACTGCCTTCTCCATATGATACATAATTGGCCATTCCACCTTGACTCTCCTGATAAGGATATCCGTCTATTATTTTTAGACTACACAAAGGCCTTCGATCATATCGGACATAATGTGCTTATTATAGTAAACTTATCGATATCGGAGTAAGATGCTCTCTGATCCCATGGATTATAAGTTTTCTATCTAACCGTAGACAGTGTGTTAGACTTGGTGGCGCTACCTTGGATTGGTTGGCGGTTACAGCCGGTGTACCACAAGGTACAAAATTGGGACCAATCTTATTTTTTATTATGATCAACGATCTAAAGATCCCATCCCCAGGGAATACTGGTACATGGAAATTCATGGATGATGTATCCATTTCAGAGTCCCTGTCAAGAAACAGTGAATCCCGTATGCAGAATCACCTTGATGAGGTCAACACACGGGCTGACAACAACCTAATGAAGCTAAATCCAAAGAAATGCAAAGAGATGCACGTCTGTTTCCTCAAAGAGCGACCCATTTTAGAACGTCTCAGTTTGAGGGGACACCCCTGGAAATCGTTTTCCATTATAAGGTTCTTGGCTTGGTTATACAGGATAATCTTAAGTGGAATGGACATATTGCCATGATTGTTAAAAAGGCCTCCAAGCGTTTTCATATTCTTAGAGTTCTTAAACGGGGTGGAATCCCACCTCATGAACTGATTCTTATTTACTATGCTCTCATTCGCTCCGTACTAGAGTACTGCTGCATTATGGCATAACAATCTACCAGCTTATCTGGCGGACTCAATTGAACGAGTTCAGAAAAGAGCACTGAATATAATCCTCCCTGACAGGTCTTACCGTGAAGCTTTGAGTCAGCTCCAGTGTTCTCGCCTAGATGAGAGACGCGATGCTTTGTGTGAAAGAACGATTAAAAGATAATTGATGGCAAACGCCTGTTTTATCTCTTACCTCAGACTGGAGAAAACGTGAACTACGATTTACGTAACGCTAACAGTTGGTCATTATTCAAATGCAGAACCGATCGTTTTCAGAAAAGCTTTCTCCCAAGTATGATTCGAGTTTTAAATATTTCATCATGACACTAGTTTTTGAATATCTAAACTATTACATTATATACTTTCCTCACACCTAAATTTTTAAATTGTAAATATAGTATTAAACTTATTGTATCTTTATTAACTTAGTTATATAATTATTGTAAGCACATTGTAATTCAATTTTTTGTGATAGTGTGCCATTAAAAAAAACGCACGCATATATAAAAACTCCTGTAGGTCAGGGATTTTCGTAATACAGAATTCTCACTGCGTATGCGTATAAGTACAATATCAACATCCCACAAGCATTACAACAACTTTAGTAGATTATTTCGAAAATCGTGTTAAAATTCACTTAGTTTGTTAGGAAGAACATACGTCGGGGGATAAACACCAGCAAAGTATTAAACCGCAAAAAGTCGCCTGAAACCTAGTAATCAGGTCTCACTCGTTTGAATACATTATAAGCGCGTGTAATTGATATTAAATGATATTCTGATGACGTCATGTGTGGAGCTGTAGCGCTCCACCCGCGCCAGAACCCCCACTTTGTATACTACTCGGCCAAAGCCACTCTTACAGGAATCGTACCTGCGGCCCTCCTATTCCGTGGTGCAGCACTCTCGCCAACTGAGCTACAGAGGGCAGTTGTCGAGCTCTAACCCCAAGTTCATGTATATATATATGTATATATATATATATATATATATATATATATATATATATATATATATATATATATATATATATATAGTATATATATATATATATATATATATATATATATATATATATATATTACGTTTACACTTTACACTCTTACAGTCTTCAATCCATCCTGACGGTGTAGCTCAGTTGGTAGAGCATCGATCTACTAATTCGAAGGTCCCGGGTTTGAAACCCAGCCCTGGCCGCCAGGGCAGAGTTTTCCGTTTGCGCGGTCTGGAAATTATGAAATATCAACATTTTCCCCCTCATTAAAACTTCTTATTTACCGAACGCGAGGTCTGTACAGAGAAATATCGGACACAGGTCTTTTTTCGTACAGAACGAGCCTGTAGGGCGAGGTTTGTACAAAGAGACTAAGGTCCGATATTTCTCTGTAGGCATACCTAGCAAGCGAGGTTAATAAGAAGTTTATTATACGGCATTTATATTTTTCTGATATGCTGACACGACGCGGAAAGATTAATTAATACACCGTGGTATATTTAAATGTCTAGCTTTTAAATTTTACTTAAAATATTTTTTTATTAGGCCTACATGAAGAAACTCATTTCGATTGTTTAAAGTGGCCTTTGTAGGTTTACAAATAATCCATGAACACAAATTAATTACATCCGGCCAGAGCCCCAGGTTCAATTCCTGCCAGGGACCTAAGTTGCATTTTTTGCTTCTGTTGCTGGTTAGGTCTATTAAATGTATATAAATTTCCACTCGAAAATTTCCATCAACAATCCTCTTCAACTAATGTTCAATCGAATGCATGTGATACCAACAAAATCTTGATATTTACACTATCGTTGATTGTGTGTTAGTTTTGTACTATTGCATGATCCGCTTGCTTTCGACAAGCAAGAAACTACTATATTTCAATTTTAAACAGTTTTACTTATGTTATGTTAGTATATTTACAGCCTATAATATTTTAATACTAAAAAGTACTTGTTTACTTCGACTGGAAATGAACCGACCACAACAAAGGAAGCAGAAAAATAAACAACAACAAAAGTAAAATGCTTTCTTTTTGGCATTTTTTTCCAAGTAGCAGAGCAGGGGTGGAGAGGCTTGCTTTTATTTCGTGCTAAAACATTGTAAAAACTTTGTCTTTGGAGGCCATGCTGATCGAATGATTGATAGACATTTTGACCCGATTTCAACAAGCGAAAAAGTCCACACGAAACACTCGGTCGTTGTGAAAATACACTGTACATAACGAGCGACAACACGCACACATTTGTAGGTCGAAATGGTGAGCAGTCTTATGTTTTCTAAGCGTGGTCACCTTAAAATGTTGAGAAGAACCTTCCTCTCAAAACGCATTTGTGAGCCACGATTGTTCGCTCCCTCGCTGGTTAGTATACGCATTTTCTCGTCCATTTTCCTTCGACTTCGCTGTACTTTGTTTATTTTTTGTTTATTTTGTTTATTTTATTTTGTTTATTTTGTTTATTTTGTTTATTTTGTATATTTTGTTTATTTTTGTTCATTTTGTTTATTTTGGTAAAATCATTAATTGTACTGCAGTACAATTAATGAAATAATTGTACTCCTCTCAACCAATCAGCATCCAGTAATTTTGTCATGCTAATAATAAGTATAGGTAATCATGCGATACATCTCAATGTCAACATCATATTTTCTCGCCAAAGACCAGTCCTGCCACTGCCAGACTTTCAACCAATTGCAAAATTTTGTGCTTTTGTTCGTATTTTCATTTAGTTCTTTTGTTAAAGCAAAACTTGGTGCTTTTGTTCGTATTTTCATCTGGTTCCTCTAGGGCAATAACGGCAATTTCATTTTACGTTTGTGTTCAAAATACCTTTCCGCCATTTTGTTTGTTTTGGGAAAATCATTAATTGTATTGCAGTACAATTAATGAAAAAATTGTACTCCTCTCAACCAATCAGCACCCGGTAATTTTGTCATGCTAATGATAATAATATTTAATCGCAGTGTGTAAACGTACCTTAAGCAGGTTGCATGCAACAGTTATAGGCAAAAATTGTGTGATGTAAATCAGCCTTAATAGTTTGCGAGTCACAATTCTAGGGTGGGCCGGGGCAGGAAAAATGAATTTTGGGTCTCTGAAACGTCCTTTCCTGCATTGTGGAGTCACCTTAAGAAAAAACAAATGTTTTAAAAATTATATTTTAACAATGCCAAATATTAATTTCGGAATACTTGACAATTTAATTCGGCGGGAGAGTCACATTGAGCTTTAAATTAGAGCAAAACGCAGTAGATAATGTTCAGCTACCTATAGCGAAGATTTTTCACATTGAAAGATGAACTGATGAAAATATTTTTACCATTGGCAGTGCACTCATAAATATTCATTATTCATGTAATACTTAGTATACCTGTAATGCTATATTTATTCATACATACAACTCATACGGTAAACAGGCCTTGATTGTAAAATTATATACTGATATGTGCCTCGCATGGGGCTTAGAGTCCGGTTCTCACTCTTCCCGCTTACACATATCGTCGAATAAGATTTAATACATGAATAATGCTATGCATGCCTTAAAGTATATAAACGTTTTAATTAATTGAAAAGCAGGTACGAAACCGCAACCAAAAATGTTTACATAAAACAACACAGAGCTAAAACCAACGATGCCGTAAATTTTGTGTGACATGCATGCAGAACACAGCCCCTTACATAAACTCTGTCACAATTGTCCGCTAAATATCCACATTATCACTCCACTATGCTGTTCCTGAATTACAACTTAAAATATAGGTGCAAAATATACTACTGCTTTGTTCGCAATAATATTAAAACCCTATCAAGATATTAATAATTTAAAACAGGTTCCTCGCCGCAAACACAATAATATAATACAACATGCAGTATAATACAACATATGTAGTTATAAAACTACAGCGTTGGCGATTTTTGTCCTTCAACACTGCGTGGACAAAATGTCTGCCAAAGTCACTGCAGGTTTATGTATCCTTTGGCAATGTTTCCATCTATCAAGATCTAGTATTGGACACATGAAGTATTTAAACTTGAAAGCGATAAATTGGGGTCTACCTCTTGCTGGACACAAATTTAATGTAACACCAATAGCTACGAGCAGAGTGACAAATCATATCAAGTGTATGGTTCACTGCGCAGAAACTGAGGGATGTGTTGCTATAAATCTTGGTCCCGCACAAGCCGGAGAGCACGAGTGTGAAATGTTGGAAACAACACGATATTCAATATTTAATGCAAAATTCACTGCGAAAGCTGGCTGGAAATACGTTGGACCTAAGGTAATGATAATCTCACTGTTAACAGATCGAACAATCTGCAGTATTTGTTTTATAGAATAGTAATTCCCCTTATAATGGACGCTAGAACTCAGAAATTTATTAAATTTATATTTACTAGACAAAATGTGACGTTAATCCATGTCGTAAAGGATTTTGGTGCATTGCCCAAGAATATGAAACTGGTTACACATGCTTAGATCCCGTTGGAGGTGAAGTAATAAATACTAATAGTAATAATAGTAACGTTTCAATTGGCAAATAAAATAAACGGGCCAGTTTCAACAGCTATCCAAAGTGACCAAATAAGTATATTTTTCAAGATCAAATTGAGATTCATATATACACCATTATACTAATTGATTTTTCCTCAATTCCTCAACTTTTATGAGACACTGTCACAGATGTAAACAAATTAAATTCCTTTTGAACTCTGTTAATTTGTTCAATGCAAGGTTTACATGTAACATGTCACAGCGGCAATATAGTTAGTACTGCAGTGCCGTAGCAAGCTCGATAATTGGGGGGGGGCTCATATTCATATATTCGTGTTCTGCGTTATTAATTTCTTTTGAAATCGATTGTGTTTATGGTCTGTGAACACGAATATATGAATATGAGCCCCCCCCCCAATTATCGAGCTTGCTACGGCACTGAGTAGTATGGCATTGGCAACAGACATTCCTTCAACTAAACTCTAGATCATGACAATTTCTGACGCCAGCAAGTAGTTCATTTAAATTAACCTCTCACCAATAACCCAAAGCAAATTAAACGTAGCCTGATTATTATGAGCAAGACACACAACTCGCTACTTTGAAAATCATGTATATTCATCATAATGTAATGCCTATTCAGTGGCGTAGCCAACAGGATGTGGGAGAGGTGACGGGGGAGGGCGGAGACTCGCAAATTAATTACTAGCCTCACAAAATCAATTTCTTGTGGTGCCACTGGGCCTATATTGATCATATTTGCGTACTATTTACAACATCTGCTGAATTTTGATGTTTCCGTGTGAGCGGTGTGACCGTGTGGTCAAATTCATAAAAGTCCTTATCTTCATTAATAAATCAATAATGCTGTGCCTTAACGTATATGTAAATATTTTAAGCAGGTAGGAAACCGCAACCGCAAAAAATGTTTACGTGAACCAATTTTGGTAAAACTTCGTCAGTCAGGGGATAAACAGTCATTTATCTCTAATCTAGACTTTAATTTTTAAAAAATCGATCTTTAAATCAGTTTCTAAGGCGCGTGTTTACATCACAATTACAGGAACTATCTCCACCAGATTTTTGCGTTGTTCACTAATTGGCTGGCTAGTTTATTTAACCCATGGACAAGCCTGTCACAAATTTGGAAAAATCCTTGGTTCGTATATAGTGTGAACACAGCTTAACTGGTACGACATCGCGCGAGCTGTAGCGTTTCCCCTTGTTTCCTGGTATTCAGATTTTATTTACTGCATTGTCCATTTACTACATACAAGTAGAAAGCGGAATTGTGGTCGCGTTTAGTTAAAACAGCCATTTGCCGGAACTGCAGCCTTTGCTTCATACTTACATCGTTTTCTGTTCCATGCAGAACCTTGTACTCCATTAAGCATGGAAAGTGGGAAAATATTGGACGGTGCCATTACAGCTTCGACGTCTTATAACAGTGCACTTGGTCCTGCCAATGCCAGACTTAATGTAAATCGTGGTTGGTGCGCGTGGACAACAACAAATGCAGGACAACAGAGCGGATGGATACAGGTTGATTTAGGTGAAATCATCTGGGTGACAGGCGTGGCCACCCAAGGACGTTGCGTTTCGCCACAATGGGTAAAATCTTACAAAGTATCATACAGTACTGATGGTCAAAACTGGAAATTTTACGACGAATCTGGCAGCACTAAGGTTAGCTTAACCTTCTTTTTTTCGAAGATTTAAATAATATCTAATGAAGAGCTTTTGAAGCTTTTCGTCCTTTATTGCGTTTTGTACAGTCGAAGTGGAAGAGATAACATCAACCTGACCGTGTTGAAGGCTTGCTAGCTATGGGGCCTTTGGCTATCGACATGTGACCCTAGCTTGCTCATAAAATGCGGCCAGTCAGGCTGGTCAAATATAGCTAATTTTCTCCCACTCGTGCGGGCTCATATGGTCAGTGGATATATCTTACACAAAACATATGCAAAACGCAAAGCTTTCAATTTTTCATTGGAAGTCCGGTGGGAAATGAGGTTGCTATACTGGGAGAAGATTTCCGAATATCATCAACGTGGTAAAAGTGCTAGTAAGGAGGAAATCAGGGGATCCAAACAATAACCTTTGACTGCACAGGAATCATATTTTGTTTTTACCATGTTTCCGTTTCGACAATTGGTGGGGGAAATCCGTGGCACCGGCTGGTCACGTGATCCCAAGCTACCAGATTTTGTGGGTGACTATATATAAACTATCATACACTGTACTTTTAGTTTTTAATTTCAAAATACTGGCGGTACAAATAATAGATAATTTTACGCTAGATCGATAGTCTAATGAACCCATCCAGCACTTTTTCTTTGACAAGTAAAATCAGCCGGCGTAAGACAGAGTAAAATAATAAAGTAGGGCGCAATGCAACTTAACGGTTACACTGGCTTTGTTCAATTATATTATATTGTGAGCAATTGATCTGCAGAGCTGAAATACCTAAATGTGATTTAACATCATAACATAAAACAACCTCGTACCCAGGCTCTTTCCACTACGTGCCTCGCTGGAGGAAAGACTCTGGTCCAGGCTGGTCACGTGTCTCCCAGATTTTGGGAAAAAACAAAATTTTTACATAAGAGTGGGGGGGGGGGCTAAGTTTGTTTTACCGATCTAGTTGCTGATATCGATTCTATAAAGTTCAGAATGTGTGTATTTTAACAAATTCATGTAATTTTAATGAATAGCAAGAGCTTGTGTTGCAAAATCAATTTGTGAGATGTCTTTGTATATGTATTCTTTGTGCATATGCATTTGCGACATCGCTACGCAAGATCTACATACTGCTGGGGTCTTTCAGTTCATATTTGGAAAACCGCAAAGAATTACTATAGGAAAGGATTAAATACGTGTAATATGCTGAAGGACAAGCAAAGAACATTTGCCTAGCAGCCAGCAGCGAGTAAATTTTAATCATAAGTGGAACGGCTCGACAACACGACACTACATGCATATAGAGTAACAGTAAGAAAATATATCATATAGTGCGCACATGAGTATCGATAGTATGCATGTCTATAGAGTTTTAGTACATATTCCATTTTCTCGTGTTTCAATAAGACAGTACTCAGGGGATTATATATATATATATATATATATATATATATATATATATATATATATATATATATATATATATATAAATAAATAAATGATGCATCAGAGCTCATATAACAACTTCAACTATTTAAACTGTCCATAACCTAATTATAATAATTCGCTTGATTAACTCTATTGTTCAAACAAAGTCTTTTAAATTCAACCCATGCGGTTCAAACGAATTCAGTTTATAAGCCCAAAACCTTCTCTTTGTATGGCCGGGACATGCAATATTAGTTTTATCAATAATTTTAACTTTCACATCTTGCATACCATTATGACCTTGAAAAAAAAATGAGCATACAAATGCTCGCCTGCCATACCCCTTTCACCTCTCCCATATCTATTCATGCTACTTTTGTGGTTGTTAAAACGTTTCTTAAAACTAGTAATTGTACTCCCCACATACTTTTTCGCACATTTTCTACAATAAATCAAATAAATCACCCCAGCCGGATCGCAATCAAAGTTGTAATTAATGTAGTATTTTACTTTTCCCTCGAGAAGTTCTTTCCCCTCATCTACATAATTACAAATCACAACGACTCTTATTACACTTACTCATCCCAACACTTACCTCCCTAGCCTTTTTAACCTTAGATCTAACCAAACTATCTTTTTGGTCTCGTATATGGTCTAATTTTTTGGTCTCTTGTATGACACAATCGGCCTACTACCGAAGACACCCCTCATCCTCTCCCTCATCCTTTCTTGGCTTCATGGTAAAGAATCCCTCATCCTCTTTTGGCTTCATGGTAAAGAATCCCTGTTGGAATTTTTAAATTATATTAACAATTATCATAAAACAATTAAATATACATGGGAATATTCGGAAAGGGACCCGTCTTATTTGGATGTGCGGGTGGAATTGGAGTCTGGTAAATTGCAAACGGATGTGTATTCAAAACCGACTGATACACATCAATACTTATAATTCAAGTCTTGTCATCCTGCACATGTGAAGAAGGCAATCCCCTATGGTCAGGCGCTAAGATTAAAACGGATTTGTAGTTCGGAAAAAGTTTTTCAGGATAGGCTTAAAGAAATGGATAGCCTGCGAACAGGCTCTCAAGCTGAATTGAGAGCCTGCATCGGTAGTATTTGCATCCAAGTATTTGACTGATATCAGCAACATTGAAATAGACGGAGTAAGTTTTACATCAGCCATAACTATTGCATCTGCCTTAAACTCGTTCTTTGTTAGCATTGGGGAGAAACTTGCTGAGAAATTCAATCCTACATCCAGTGCCAGAAATGGTCCAACTCCTTCTGGTTTCACTTTCAGTTTTGAGTCTGTTACCGAGCAGTTTGTCTTAAATGCGATCAACCAGTTGAAAGCAAAGAAATCTTGTGGCCTAGATAAAATTAATGCTCGTTTGGTAAAGGATGCTGCTGATGTTATAACTCCCTCCATAACAAAAATAATTAATATTTCATTAACTACGCCAAAATTTCCATCTGCCTGGAAAAACGCGAAAGTGATACCAGTGTTCAAACATGGTCCAAAATCAAATCCAACAAATTACCGGCCGATAAGCATTCTACCTGTATTGAGTAAGATATTGGAAAGAGCGGTATACACCCAATTTAATTGCTTCCTTAATAACCACCATCTTATCTCACCAAAGCAGTATGGATTTAGATTAAAATCATCTACAATTACAGCAGTAACCATGTTTACTGACAAAATCTTACAATCCATGGATAATGGCAAAGTAACTAGAACAGTCTTCTTAGATTTCAAAAAGGCATTTGACACTGTGAATCATAACATCCTGATCAGCAAGATACGTGCATTGGGTGCCGACGATAATGCTTGTTTGTGGTTCACTTCTTTCCTCGCCAACAGAACCCAAGTGACCTGTTGTAATAATACTAAATCTGATCCTGCCTCTATCTCCATTGGTGTTGCCCAAGGTCCCCTTTTGTTTATCGTATACGTGAACGATTTGCCAAAATGCTTAAAGTTTTGTGATGTAACTCTTTATGCAGATGATACCGTTTTGTCGTTTGCGTCATCTTCGACTGATGAAATTCAAAGGAAAATGAATTCCGATTTAAATTGCATCCATAATTGGCTTCTGGATAATCAACTTACTTTGAATGTCGAGAAATCTAAGTTTATGCTGATTGGGTGCAGTCGACGACTTTCTAAAATTAATTCAATACCATATCAATCAATCAATGACTCGACACTTGCTCATGTTCAATCTTTTCTATACCTTGGCATTCTTGTAAACCGGTATTGTACGTGGGGAGATCATGTGGACTATATTAGTTCCAAGATAAACAAGAAATTTGGTTTATTAAAACGTATCAAGTCTTGTTTACCATTAGATGCTAGAATAACGTTTGTTAAAAGTTTTATACTGCCACTTATAGACTATGGGGACATTTGTTGAGGGGACAGGGGAAATGAAACATTGATGAATGACTTACAAATTCTACATAATAAAGCTGCTAAGATAGTCTTAGATCAACCTATATATTTCTCTGCAACCGATGCTCTCAGTAAGCTTAAATGGAAATCCTTAAAACATAGAAGAGCCGAGCATCGAGCCATATTTGCATATAAGGCCATCAATAATATGTTATCGCACCAATTTAGTTTTCAACTTAATTGTAATTTTCATAGATATAATACTAGATCTAAGAATAACATCAGGAAAACCAAGGCTTCGTGGAGGTGGAGTCACTGGACAACGGTAAACTTTGTTTCTGAAGTCTGGAATAGTTTGGATGATGATTTAAAAAGCTCCACCTCGATAACCTCATTTAAGAACCGCCTCGAAAAAACTGAATTGTAATGACTTGTTTGTTTTGTCTAGTTATTTTCATTTGTAATTTAATTATTTTTAGTATGAGGACCCCTCTGTAAACCATTACTTGTGAAGTTGCTATCCTCATTAAAAAATTATGTTCATCATCACTTTCAGCAGAATTGTGCGTTAAAATGCTTGCTGCACGGCGTAATATTAAAAGTTGCTGCTTCTTGTGATTTTGAACGGTTCTCAGCCATTTTATCCGTATGATGAACAGCCGAAGTAACAATGTTGGAATAATTAGAAATAATTAAATTTTTTGCGGGAAATAAATTATCATTAAATCGAGTTGAAAATTGTGTTTTGAGGGTCATGCATAATGTTACGTCATCACAATAGAATGATTAAGGATAAAATGCGCAAACAGAAGTGCATCAAAATTCAATTCTTTAATATCAAAATTCAATTCATTGATATCAAAAAGCACGGAACGAACAACAAAATCTAGAACTTGGAATGCAAAATTCAAGCATTAGTTTTGGCGGTAATCACCCTCCATACATCCTCACACGTTATCGTTTGGGCTTTCGGGTTTGGGACGATGTTAGCATCTTTCCAAGGTATAGGGAATTCAGAGTGCAATAAAGACTTTTTGAAGATTTTCACCACCGGGTCATCTAACTTTTGAGCATATTGACTAAGCACTCGATTAGGAATACAATCAGGGCCGTTGGATTTAAAAGCCTTTATTTCGAGCAGTTTAAAACAGACCTGTGCGATTGAGATAGATGGTGGGGGTTCGGGAGCTGGAAGGTACGCAGGCAAAGTACCTAGGTCGAGAGGAGGAAGGTCGGCGTTGACTGATAAAAAGTGCTCATTTAGTTTACCACACAACTGAAGATAGGACATTGGTACCCCATCGCTGGTAATGTCAAAATTAGGCGTTGACTTTTTCTTACCGGTGATCCGTTTAATGTAATTCCACCATTGCCTTGGGTTGCTATTTTTTAGATTTTGAATCTTCCTGGCGTATTACGTACGCTTTGGTGATGAAATTTCTCTTTGTACCTTATCCCTATGGTGTAACCAAACTGCACGGTCGCCGCTGTGGAATGCACGCTGTCTTTGGATAATCAACTGTTTCAACATTGGCGTCATCCATGCTTTGTCAGTTGCATAAATCTTAATGGTTTTGGTAGGGAAAAAGAGGTCAATGGCGGAGCTAAGTTCAGATGTAAAAGAAGAAGCCAAAGCGGTGGCAGAATCGGGTTGCTGAACATCAGAAAACCATACGTGGTCACTGCACCATCTCCCAAACGCCGCACACGATGACTGGGTAAAGCGACGCACCTTACGTTTTGTTATTCCTTTCTTTATCAAACAAGCAGCACTGTCGATATTTCTACTCCAGTTGCTAACATGATGATCAGATCTGCCCAAAGGTGCAGTTACCGTAGGAGTGCTGTTAGAAGTGGGACATATTGGTTATTATTAAGTCCAAGTTGTTATTGCCACGCGTTGGTTCCCGAACTACTTGTTTTAGATTGTGACTGGAAAGGAAGTCAGCAACGTTTAACATGTTGAAGTCTCCAGTGATTACAATGCCACAGTCCGGAAATGCTGAACAAACCTGGTCTAAACTGTCAATGATATGTTCTATTAAGTCTCACCCTTCCTGCGCGGAAATACTCGGGGAACTGTAAACAACTCCCAACATTATGCCTGACAAAGGGCAAGGAAGGCGAGTTGGGCGAAGCCAGATCCACAAGCATTCATACGCTGCATTTTCAAGATCTAGCCTTCTTTTACTGGGAATATCGGATGATATATAAGCGAAAACACCGCCACCTCGACCAAAGGCTCTGTCCTTTCGGTAGATGTTAAAACCTTCGATAGAGAGTAAATTATCATCAATGTCCTCACTTAACCTAGACTCTGTAATAGCTATAACATTTGTAGGTTGGAAAGATATGCGCGCAGAGAGTTCATCGATCTTCGGTATTAATGAGCAAACATATTCATCAAACTAAACCGGGCAAACATCTTTTTTCCCATTTTGGAATATTAGCTATTATGGTTTTGTTCCGCTTCAGTGCCGTTAATTGTTCTCGTAGTCGAAACTTGAATATGTAATAAGTTCGTGCGGTTTACACCGTATTGCTTTGACAAAACATGTCTTTTACGTCGTCCAACCGGTTCTATACTGCTAATAAACATACACTCTTTTCATAAATGGCTGCCGATTAAAAATTCTTTTATGTGCATATAAATTGGCCCAACTAGCCTCGTTTCTGGGTAGAAATTCCTTTGAAATCTTAACATGAGTACGAGGCTAGTTGGGCCAATTTATATGCACATAAAAGAATTTTTAATCGGCAGCCATTTATGAAAAGGGTGTATACCATTAGAATGTCTTAGATGATTACCTCTTCGTTGACCTCTTACAAGGCTCAATATACCGTAGAACTTAAGTTTTTTCAAGACTTCGCTTGATAGCTGCCGATTCACTGATCCATGTCCCGTTCAACGATTACCCTTACAAAAATTTCACATTAAAATTCATATATGAAATTGGAATTTCATATATGAAATGAAGATTTTCATATATGAAATGAAGATTTTCATATATGAAATTAGAATTTCACATGTGAAAAGG